CCAAGATGGCACAGTGGCTTTGGAAGCCAGTTTAGCAGTTTCTTGCAAAGCTAAACATATCCTTACCATGTGACCCAACCATCATGTTCCTTTGTGTCTATCCAAATGAGCTTACAACCTATGCCCACAGAAAAACCTGCACATAGCTGTTTACAAGGACTTTATTAATAGTTATCAACATGTGCAAATATCCAAGATATCCATCCATAGGTAAATGGATAAATAAATGAGCATATCCTGCCAGGGGAATATTAATCATTAATAAAGAAATGAGCTATCAAGCCATAAAAAGTGAAGGATTCTAAATGAATATTACTTGATAAAAGAAACCAAATTCAAAAAATTATATATGATACAATTCCAACTATCTGACGTTCTGCAAATGGCCAAACTATGGATATAACAAAAATACCAGCACTTTCCAGGACACTGAGGAGGGAGTGTGAATAGACAAAGCCTCAAACTACTCCAAAAAATGTTTTAACAAGTCAAACTGATTCCAAAATATAAAGGTTTTTCATACTAAGACAATCTCAAAAAATACGAAAACAATCTTTCTTTATTTTGAAGACTTATTCAAACTTTATAATCTAAAACAGCATGGCATTACAGTAGAATAGAACAGATTAGAAAGAGACACTTGCATATGGTGATTGTCTCTGCTGGCCATCATGAAACTGGACAGTAGTAGGGACAGATGCTGTGTCAGTAATCACGGCCGCGCAGGCTGGACTTCATCTCCACATGCTTCGTGGGAGACACGTGCAGGAAATCTGTTCCAGAAAGGCTGCAGATCTAAATTGAAAACAACCACAGAAAGCTCCTACACAGTAAGTTAGGAATGTGTCTTCATGATCTTGTAGTAATAATTTCCTTAACTGGAAAAACACTATTCCAAAAAGCAAATCTAAATGAAACTTAACAATTATGATTCATCAAAGGGAAAGAAAGTTCTCAAAAGGAAATAGAAACTGGGATAGGGGAAAGGAGAAAAGGAAGAAAGGAAAAGATTAAATGTATGCAGGTATACATATGTAAATGTATATGTATGCAAAATATATAACTGTACTATGAATCTCTATTAGTTCATCAGAACAGTTTGTCCTGTCATTGTTGGATTATTTGATCATTTTTATGCCTAAATCTTGTAACCTGAACAACTACTTCTAAAATAACAATAGGTAACATATTAACTAATGTTAATTTCCTACTATTTTTTTGCAATTCTTTATCATTTCTATTCTTTTTTCTGTTTTGCTTTTTAAAATAAAAAGAAAGAATTGTGATTCATCAAAAGACATTATTAATAGAGAAGAGAAAACAAAAGTACACCACAGAAAGAAAATTGTTTCCACACTTTACACCAGCAAAAGACTTGTACCGGTAGAAATATCAAATGACCTAGCCATGGTGCTTACCCCTGCCCAAAAGTGACATCAGTACCACGCAGGCATATCTGTGCCCATGTTCACTGCAGTACCATCCCCCACAGGCCACGTACGGAAACACCCATGAATGTATGAGTGAATAAACTGTGATCCAGATGGTGTCTTGGTAACTTTTCTCATTGCTGAGACAAAATACCCAACACCCAAAATTAAAGGAGGAAAGGTTTACTTCAGCTCACAGTCTATAGAGGTTTTGATACATAGTCTGTTGGCTCCAAGGCAGGGTAGCATGGCAAGGGGCATCACAGAAGAGAAACGGTCCCTGGCAGGGCAGGCAAGAGATCAGCAAAGCAGCAAATAGCTGCAGTAGACTGATTTCTCTCTTCCTTTATATTCTATCCAGGCTAGATAGAATTGGCATTGGTGCCACCCACAGCCAAGGTGGAGCTTTCGTTATGCACACCCAGAACTATACTGATTCTAATCAGCAGACTGATTTAGTATCACACACCCTTAACCCTAGCATTGCACCCTGAATCCACATTCCCACACCCTAGATCCAGCCTCCTCCAAAAAGCCCAACCTATTAGTGCATGAGGTTTTGAGTGGACATCCAGGTACCAGCCAAAACAGACAGAAAATGGGATACTGTCCAGTATTTTAAGGAGACAAGGACATTTGCAACAATATGGACAGATGTAGAGGATATTATACTGAAGGAAATAAAAATACTGTGTAAATAGGAGAAAAATTTCACCAGCTATTCCTCAGACAAAGGACTAATATCTGGAAAATACAAAGAACTCAAAGAAATCAGATACCTCCCCCAAATGTAAAGACCCAATCCAAAAATGGGCATCTGAAATGAATAGGCACGTCTCAGAGGCAAAAGTAAAAACAGCAAATGTATACATGAAAAAATATTCAACATCACTGGTCATTTGAGAGATGCAAATTAAAACACTGAGATTCCATCTCACCCCAGAAAGAATGGCTGTAATCAAGAAATCAACCAATAATAAATGCGGAGGTGCTGTGGGGAAAAAGGAGGTCTTCTCCACTGTTGGTGGAGGATAGACTAGTACAGCCACTGTGGAAATCAGTGTGGAGAGTTCTCAAAAAACTAGGACTAGAGGTTCCATTTGATCCAGCTATTCCCCTCCTTGGTAACTTCTCAAAAGAATTAAAAGCATCATACCATGATGATATATGTGCATCTGTGTTTATAGTAGCACAGCGTGTAATAGCCAAATACTGGAAACAACCCAAGTGTCCATTAACTAGTGAATGGATAAAAAAGATGTGATTTTTTACAGTGGAGTATTACACTGCTATAAAGAAGGGTTAACTTGAGATATTTTAGGTAAATGGATGCAATTTGAGAACATAATTTTAAGTGAAATAAATCAGACATGCATGTTTAAATATCACATTGCTTCTCTTGTACAAGAAACCAAAAGTGTAAATGAGGACCAAAATGAATGACAGATACTAAAAAATAGGAAGAAGATGTTCAAGTGGGAAGAGGAACAGGGAGGGGGAGAGGAAAAAAAAGGAGTGGAACAGGGATTTTAAAAATGAAAAAGAATGGAAGGAAAACAATAGAAACAAAATTTTTTAAGGGAAGAAAGATTGAAGGAAAAGGGGCAATGAGGGGAAAAAAAAGAATCAGGGTATATCCTTTTTGGGTACAAATGCCGATGCTGAATATGATCATTTTGTACATCAAAAGAGTACCAATAGCATTAAAAATAAATAAAAATACCATGTGATGTCACCTGTGGGTAGGGTGTAGTAACGGTCAGAGTCACCAGAACAAAAAGCAGAAGAGTGGTCCTGGGGTGGGAGACCCAGGTCCAAGGACACAAACTCACAGTTATTAAATCAAAGACTCTAGATACAGACTGGTATTGTATATCAAGTTTGCTAAGAGGGTGTATTTGAAGGGCTCTTACCACAAAACAGGCAGTTATGTGATGTGACAGATGTGTTCGTTTTATTTATTATAGTAGTTATTACAACCTGCATATGGATACCAGAATGTGCCATGTAACTTAAATATATGTACTAAAAATACAAGCAGGGTGCTCAAACTTACCAACCAACAGGGAATTGAATGAAAATGAAAACCACCAGGAAATACCCCAACAAACTCACCGGACCTGTAAATTTGTTGACAATAATGTGAAGCAACTGTTGGAGGGTGTTTAAATTTCTATAACCAGCTCTGAAATTTATCCAGCGAGGTCCTCCAGTGCTGAACATTGTGTAACCCATGACTCAGTGATTCTAATTCTAGAGAGACCCTAAGAGAAATGTTGGCCTGCAGCTTGTGAAAGAACACAGAAGTTTATAACCTTTCTCATAGTGGCCAGAACTGCACACAGTGCATTAACTGGGGACACATTTCAGTACATTCACAGAGTAGTAAATACTATAGAGATAAAAAATGAACAAAACTCCTGTAGGCCACAACATGATATATGTCATACCAACATGGTGTTGAGCAACAAATAAGGGACAAAATGATACATACTGCATGACTCCATTTACATAAAAGGAAAACTACGCTAAGACTTTGGGAGTCAGCTGGTAGATTTTCTTGTGGAGAGAGATGCAAGTAACTTGCAGGTGCTTGGGATGATCTCTTTATAGATGTGGTGCTCACCTGAATGTCTGCATTCTCAGATCATTCTCAAAGCTGAGACCCAGAATCCATTCTCTCTCTAATAAGCATGTTACACATCAGTCTTTAGGTTCAAAACCACTTCTATGTAATCTATTATAACATATAAGAGGAAAATACTCACACTGAAAAAATCGACTCAGAAAAAGCACTGAATAAAATCCATACATATTCCTGATTTAAAAACTGCGGGAGGTGTCCTTTTGCTGGTAAATGATACATGTCAAAAACTTAAGCAAATGTCACACTTGATAATACAAACTTGAAAATGCCCATATTACAATTAGGTGGTAAAAGAGGATAAACTTTCACTACATTAATCAGCACAGGAATTTGATGTCCTGATTAGAGATAGGGCAAGAAAACATTAGAAATATGAATACTGGAAAGGAAGGACAAAAACTGTGTTTTACAATGATATTCATGACTTTTCTAGGGCCATACAATAATCTGTATCCACAGATAACCGTAGGTTGATCCCTGATATTATTATTATTGTTATCTACTCATTATTATTATTATTATTATTATTATTATTATTATTATCAGTGATATTATTATTATTGTTATCTACTCATATTATTATTATTATTATATTATTATTATCTACTCATATTCATTGTCTTCTGATTTTCTTTCCCATTAAACAGTAGCACTTTTGTAGTTGCCTCAATTCAGGCAGATAAGAATTTTGTGTTCAGTGGGTGAATGAAATGGGCACAGGTGATCCCAGAAAGCCAGTGAGTCCTACTGGAATCCTGATGTATGAACTTGGAGGTTGGGAGCCCTAAAAGTAACATTCATTTCTGAAAATAATCTGAAATTATGACAAATCATGGTTAGCATACCTGTCACTAATGCAGATTAAGTTTCATACAATTTGTTTGTTCTCCAAGTGACTTGTTGATATTTTGTATCCATTCCAGCTAGTGTACACCATAAAGATGAATGTCAACAGTTTTATCTTAGCAATACTTGGTATATTCCTAACCTTATTGGAAATTATATTCTTTTTAGTGAGCAATGAGAATATTGAATGGCCGCATGTAAGTACAAAGTTTTACAATACTTTTTCTTGACAAATGCTGATATTGTATAAATATTTATAAACGAGTGGCTATTGTTTTGCTGTTAGACTATTGTGGGCAGTACTGATATCATTAACTCGTATTTGGCATGACCACAAATTCTAATGCAGACTACCAAGCAGATCCCTAAACCTGTGGCCTCAAAGTCTCTCAAGATGTCAAATTAATGGTGCTATGTAAAATAAAAGGGCCAAAACCTAGATTATTGAGATGAGTGAGGGACACTGGTAAAGAAACATACACACATTTAAAAACTAGCATTATCTCTTCAAATATATACAGATCAGAAGCTGCTCATGGACTCAATTTGCTAGATACAATTTAGAGGCCAACATCTCCCCAACTCCAATGCCTGGAATTAAAAGGATGGCCAATAAGTGTTTGCTGAATGAATAAATGAATGGATTTTTGTTACTGAACTATCCCTTGGATACTATTTCCAGGTTTGCATATAAAATACATTTCAGAATCAGAAATTGGAAAATCTCAGCATACAACACACAGGTACCACATTCCCAAATGTGCCATAAATTCTTGATATGTGGTTAGCCATCTCATTTCAGCTGAAGCGTGTACACCACAAGTGAAAATTGAAATGGAGCAAAGATGAATTTCTCCATCATGGGTTCTCAGTTTTTAAGTTGTTGAAAACCCTCTACTTCAGAGAGGATTACCAGGAAATCAAGATTTTATAGACCTGGTGAAATTAGGACAAAGAAAGGAAGCAAAGTCTTTTTTGACAAATGTAAAATGATGACAGGATGTTTCTTACTTTCTCATTGTCAAGATACAATACGCAAGACCCAAACTTAAAGGAGGAGAGGTTTAGTTTGGCTCACAGTTTGTGGAGGTTTCACTGTAAAGTCAGCTGGTTCCAAGGCAGGGCAGCAGGAAGCAGAGAGATCAAGGGAGGAGGAGGGAGACAGATCCTCCCAGGCCACGCCCCACTGCCCCGTCTCCTTTACTAAGCTCCACCTCCCATATAGCATGTTTAACTATAAACTCACCAGTGAACTAATCAACACTGATGAGTATCAGGCCCTATGATTCAGTCACTTCTCCAAAGCCCCAGCCGTGACCATTCAAGACTTTGGGGGGACCTCTAGGCATAAACCACAACAGGATGCTGGGAGCAGATGTTTGCACTGAGGATTTTTGCTACCATAAGCATCATTGGTATTTGTGTCAGGAATACACTTAGTGTTTCGTGGTCCCATATACACTGCAGGCCTAGTGGGGAAGGGAAAGTGGAGGGCTCCAGAGGTCCATTATGTGTTCACCCCTTTCTGATTCTGCTAACGCTTTATTCATGTAGCAGCTCTCTACCCGTGTGAAGGTTTTGTGTTTCCAGGTTTTAGAAGTACATAAGAACACTTTAAATATTAATTGAGCAGCTAGCTAATATCTCTCCAAGGATGTCACTATATATTTGCACAAACACAAAAGACAGAGAAACTGATGATGTCCTACGCCTAAAACCGTATTTCATAGACCATCAGTCTACGAAAGAATTGGTTATCACGGGCCAAGGATTCAGGCCAGTGGCATAAGCGCCTGGTGGACAAGTGCAACATCGTGAGTTTGATCCCTGGTACCAAAAAGAAAAAGAAAAAGAATGGTTATCAAACTATTCTCATATTCATATTACTCTAGCTGGGACATGAAGATATCAGTAATGGCATAAAGATGTTAAAATTAAATAACCACAGTAAGTTTCAGGTTCTTTAATACATCCTCCCAAGTAAGGCTTTGGTGTAGGTTTGAATATTTATTCACTCTCAGTTACAATTATAACTGGAACTTTTCTTAGATCCATTCTGGCACAGAAATGAGAATCTCAGTATTTTATACCATGAAAATATTTTAAATAGAATATTTTGGTGAAAAGTCTGTCCCAAACCAATCTTAAAGAAATAATAACTCTCCCCAAAAAATCTGGATTTAAGGAGGATCATAACTTCTAGTAATTTCACCAAGAAACCTGTGTGATGATTAATCAGAAGAAACTGACACAGAAAATGTGTAAAGTTATTAGATTAAAAACAATGGAATTGAGGCACATGTACCCAAATTAATTATAAATGATTGATATCAAATATTCTTACTGGTAATTGTAACCCAGTTTAACAAGAGCAACTGTCTATGGTGGTAATGTGTAGCTAGGTGTCTCCCAAAAGGTATTCCAGTCACTAGAACATCACCAAGCGCCCAAGCAAGGCCAAACACTGCCCTTTTTATTATCCCTGTCACTCAGATCTTAATTACCTACCTGTCAGAGATCAACTCCTGCTTGCCCAAACCCTCAGTCACAATCAAATGAAAGACTCTTGGCAGGATCGCCAAGGATAATAAATCTATGTGTTACAGTCTCTCTGTAGTCTGTTCCAGCTTGTAGAGAACAGAGACAGGTCGTAAGCAATCGCTGTGAATGTTGGCATCATCATGTGCATGGAAACAATTTGGCAATGGCTCCTACAAACCAGGTTTCATGACAGCCATTTTAATCATCCAAACGAAAGCACTCTATGAACCATAAAAAGAAAACAAACTCAGTAACATTATATTTGCATTTTTAAAATATATAGATATTAGACATTGCAGTTAAAAGATTCCATGTACATACAATGCCAAGCATACAGTTTTAAATGTAGGTGTACTATTTATAACTCACAGTATTATAAAAATACACATATAAGAAAACAGACATCACGAACTTGACAGTCTGTCAAAACTAGGTAGACAGCTAAGAGAAAGTAGAAAAAAAGAAGACGCGTCTGCAACCAAGTTCCAAGCAACCCCGGCAGTCAGTGATAAAATGATGGCATTTTTTTATCTTAACCTCTCCCGAGTCTCAGTTCTTCCACTCAAGATGAGAATGCTCATGCTAATGGTCATGATAATGCTACCACAAGGGCTTGTTGAGTGGATCTGTGAAACAATGCATACAAAGCATTTTGCACACCGGTCTGGCCATCTAGTCTGTGCTGTCATTCCTGTTACGATCACAGAGCAGACAAAATCACCACAGTTTTACTGATGGTACCAGGTGGGGGCGTTAGCATTATAAGGTGTTTCCCTGTTTTCTAAATTTTCCACAAGGTTGCGTTGCCTTTGTGTTGCTAAAACTTTTAGGAAGGCAAAGATCTGTGAGGAAAATAGATTTTCTTCTTGTATTTAGAAAAGCGGAATGATGCTTTCAGCCTATCTGTGGATATTCTCCAGCACAGAGATGGTACTGGCCTGGAAAGTAACCCAATGGGGGAAGCAAGCATTTTACCAGAGCAATCACGACATATAGCGTGAGTACTTCACTACTGTGGCTACTTATGAGTCCTGGCTTTGTTATGAACCCAGGCTAAGGAGTCAAGTCCTGGCAGGAATGTTTTGTACTTAGTGCTGCCTCTAAAACTGAGCTGGAAAGGTCTGGACCAAAACTGTCTGTTCACAAACGAAAAAAGTTATTCCTGGATGAGATTTTAGAGTTAGAGGTATGCATATCATTAGGAGGCAGTACTTCAGAGCTGTATCATTTTCTGGCTCAGATCTAGAATATCTGAAGGACAGTCCTATGGAGCTCAGTCCACTGGGTCTGTGGCCTCTGATGATCAAGTACCGTTAAATCTCTGCCATCTGGAGCTGTATAAACCAAAAAAAGAAAGCAAACTCTGTAACAGTATATTTACTGTTTAAGGAAATGTAATGTTTAGAAGAAATAAATAGGGGTTAAGGGAAGTGACGTGTTGGGAAAGGAGAGGGAACACACCATTTCCACACTGCTAGTCCTGGAGGAGACCAGAGGTTCAGCAATGATTTCTTTCTCCACTCCATCCAGCTCTGACACACTCGTTCACACTCATTCACAGCTGCCTGAAAGACGGTCAAACTTTAGTCAGCTAGGAGCAAGGAAATTAAAGTGAAGATTCTAAACTGTATGAGAAAAATGCAAGAAAATATCAGGTCACGTGTGGACATGAATAGAAGAGTGAACCCCAGTAATTCCGCACATACCGAATCCTACCCAGCACCTTTGAGATACAAGTGACAGGAATATAGTTGTCTTAAGTTACTTTTCTCATGCTGAGACAAAAATACCTGGCACCCAAAGTTAAAGGAGGAAAGATTATTTCAGTTTGCAGTGTGTGGAGTTTTCAGTCCATAACCAGCTGATTCCACGGCAGGGTGGCGTGAGAGGGGCATCCAGAGGAGATACAGTCCATGGCAGGGCAGAAGAAGCAGTCTGCTTCTTCCTTTTATCCCTTCCAGGCTCCCTGCCTTTGGGTAGTGCCACCCACACTCAGAGTGACCTTCTTATTATCCACACCCAGAACTGTGCTAAACCAGCTGATGGTCTAATTTAGTCAGCGTGCACCCTTAATCCTAGCATCACACACCCTATTCCAGCAACCTTTTAAACTCCATCTATGAGCACATGAGGCTCTGTGGGGACATCTAGATACAAGTCGTAACAATGGTGTTCTCAAGTAAAGGACAACTTCTCGAAGGGATATTCACCGGATAGCTGGAAAATCATCAGCAAGGAAGACAAAAACTTAGATAATATAATTTAAAAGCCATCAGTGGCCAAAAGATTGAGATCTCTAAGCCCCATGCTGTCTGGAATGACATTCAACCCATTAAGTATGTTGAGAAAGAAAATAGTTTGGCTGTGCAAATAAGGATGTAGTATGAGAATGTCAAGGAAAAGAAAAATGCTTGAGAGTGTGTGAACAGTTTAAAAGTCTTCATAAAGAAGGAAAATCTACACAAGGTAGGAGCTAGATAAGGCTGATAGAGGAAGTTTGTGGGCTCCTGTGGGTGATAAGGCTTCCTGCCCTCGCTGGGGCTGGGGAAGTGGCGAAAGAGGACAGGTTAAAATGTACTAAGGACACCACAGAGGACTTCTACCACTGTTTCAACTTGGGGGGGTGGGCTCCACGCCCTGGAAAGGGGAAGCAAGTGAGTGGTGGGCTCATGACTAACATGGAAAAAGAACAGCTTTGGATCCAAATATATCCCAGCTTGTACTCCTATTTCTTCTACTTGGGAATCTGGAAGTGTCTACCTAACGTTCAATAGACAGAAGTTTATAATTCAACTTTGGGAATTATAAATTTGCAGATCATCAACTAACCTTAGCTGTGAAAAGCATTGCCCATGAAAAGACCAAGAAGCCACTGGTGAAAACTACAAAGGACCTAAATGGCAGGAAAAATGAATTAAAATGTGGGTAAAGGGCCAGGTTCATGACACTAGAAAGCACTAGCCGAGTAGTAGAGTGGCCCAAGTTTTAGGTCAGGGCCCTGAACAGAAGCAAAGAAAGCATGGTCGTAACCAAAAGCAAAGCAAACCACACATACAACCAGCTACTGAAATCCTCCAGAGAATGCCGGTCCCTGGGTTCTGAGCTGCTCCTGGGGTCTCTGTGGAGAGCTGGCCTCCTGTCAGGAGAGACCAGCAGAGAATGGACTGTAGAACCCCAAAGAGCTGTCAGGACAGTCCTGAACACTAAATTATGTTGTGTGAATCTGTACCCACGGCACATGACAAAATACACCCTTACTTAACTATCCTGAAGTCCTGAGCTGCTTTCCAGTTATTCTAAATGCTTTCCTGACATCAAAACAATCAAGCATAGGGTTTACGCTTAGCGATTAAAAGTTCTGTTAGTTGGACTTGAAAACTAAATCTGCACATATATTCATGAGGTGGACTGTTGATAAAAGTGTGGCTTTTACATTTCCAACCTAAAAAGGAAAAGGAGAGGAGGGAGGAAAGGAAGAAGAAAGAAAAAAGACCCGAGAGAGGGAGGGGAAGAAGGGAAGGAGAAAAGGAAGGGAAGAAGGAAAGAAGGAAGGAAGGAAGGAATCCAAAGCAGGTGTGTATCTTTCTTGGGTAAAAAACTCACTGTGAGAATGTCTTCTGTATCATCCCTTCCAAAGGGCCATTTCAGTGTCATTATTAAAGAGTAAGATATGAAGAGAAGAGGGGGATAGGTCACTTGTGTCTCCTCAGGACTGTTCTCTCCCTGAGTCCCTGCATTCCGGGACTCTGTGTCAGGTCAGAAGCAGGAGATCAATGGGAAGAATTAGTGGAGTAACTCAGGGACGTAGGACAAGAGCACTGTTCAGAATGTATTAATGACCAGCTTGCTAATTATTCACCTACTGCAGGTTCCCGGCACCAGAAGACCCTTCTTTCTTTAACATGTTAAGGAATAGAACCATCCTGACCTCACTCCAGGATAAGGCAGTTTAAATTGGATGAAAAAGAGATCGTCATTTTGTTCAAGATGTTTTCCAGAAAGTATCCATTAGTGAAGTTTGTCCCGATGTTGCTTTTTTTTTCTATTCTGTAAATAAAAATTGGAATGGGATGCCTCTGATTATATTCCCTGTGCAGGGGGTGCTGGGCGCAGCTCTTTCTGTTTGGATCCAGTTGTCTGGGGCTAAGGAATTGTTTCCCCCAGGAAGTCTTCCTCCGCCCTGGGAGCAGGCTCCAGGGGAGGTGTACTGATAAGCAAGGTGGAGGCAGGAAACATGGATCATGTTCAATGGGTGATAGTTTAAACAATGGCCCAAGGAAATCATCATTTCCTTATCAGCAGTGAAATTAGCAGGAAGGATAAGCTTCACTGTCTGGATACTCTGGTCTGTGTTTCCAACAGCCCTGAACGCACTGTACCCTAAATGCACCCTTTGTAAGTTATCCTCAATGACTGCCTGGACTTTGCATTACTTGCCCGTTTAGGCAGAAGGCCTCTATTCATGGTCCACATTCTTATGAATGAATTAATGAATGAATGAATGCCCACTAGATTCACTCATTCACCAGACTTCAACATCAGGGAAGCTTTCAGGTCCAATTCCCAAAGAGGTGCCACATCCTATGCCTGCCCCCAAACAGTGCTGTGTTAAGTCTCATCACACCATGAGTTTTATGAGAGATTTTATGAAGTTGTTAGACAGGTTAAATGCAATTTTAATAAACTTTCGCTTTTTTCTCTTCTCTCTGTCCTCCCCTCTATAGAAGCCATCCCGTTTCCAGTGCACTTGTCTTTTAAACTGCTTTCTGTTACTAATATCTGAAACGTTGTGAACACACCACCACGCACTTGTGGGTGCGTTCACATCCATGAGGTCACCCCCTCCCCTAAGCCACAGGCCTTCCTGTGGAGCAGAGCTCCCCTCTGCCCTTCCCTCTTCCCAGTACTAACTAAAGCCAAGGCTCTATAGTAGATCTCCAGGACTTATTTTGCATGATTGAAACTTTGCACCCCGTACCCCACACTGATCCATTCCTCCCCTGCTGCCAGGCCCCCACACCTATCTTCCTGCTCTCTGCTGCTAAGATCTGACATGTTGAATTCCACGTAGTGCCGTGGCCACTGCTCATCTCTGCGCCAGGCTTATTTCACCCAATTCACTAGGGGCTGCTTTGTTGTCACTCAGGGAAAGATTTCTTTATTACTCAGCCTCGGCGTCTCTGGGGGTTTCTCCCCACTCTGAGGTACAAGAGGGTGAATATTTGGCCCATTCTGGGTCCAGAAGGGGCCTTCGGGAGCTACCAGGCTTGGACGAGGGCATCGTGGGGGCCCCTCCGCATGACTGGGCCCCGTAGGCTGTGTAACAAGAGGAAGGGAGACAGTGACGCACCGCACACTCCCAGGACTCTGCCCATCCAAGGCCACTGCCAGGGGCTGTCCCTGCCCCCGGGACCTCCAGAGCCCTAGGCCAAATGAACGTCTTTTCCTTAAAACAGCCCCGGGACTGCCACGCTGGCGGAAGAAACAGACGGAGGCATAGGAAGCCGGCCGAGAGGCTGGCCCGGGGCAGAGATTGAGGATCAGCCCGGCCTTTCGGTGTCTGCATCTGGGCAGGTTCCTCCCGCGGGCAACGGGCCCTGGACACGTGAGAAGGGAACTTCTGTGCTAAGCTACTGCGTCCCAAGGACTTTGTCACTGAGGTCCAGAGCGAGTCATCTGCACCGCACAGTGCTTAGCGAAGGTTTAGTGCCCAGTTTTCACCACTTTAAATTTCCTTTAAGGGGCTGGTTATGTAGCTCAGCGGCACAAGCGTGAGTTCGATCTCAGCTACCAATCAATCAATCAGTTTCCTTTAAGACTGCATGGTTCGGTTTGAGCGGGAGGCTGGGGACCTTGGGGATACTGGGCGGTCTGTTTAGATAGTAAAGGCGCCCTTACCCGGGAGTCCAGCGCCGTGTGCACCGCAGCACCCGGAGAGGGCCCCAGCCTCCCCCGGGTGAGAACTGGAGCTGCCGGGGTTCCTGCGCGGGTCAGCAGGGGGCGCCCACGCCGGAAAGGCGCTTGGACAGCTGTGCAGCGAACCCCGCCGTAGCCTTCCGGGAGCCCCAGAGCGCCGCCTTCCGCCCCCGGCTTGCTCAGCCCTCGGCGCGGTCCTCTTCCTCTGCACTGCACGGCTGGAGCCCGGGCCCGGAGGAGGCCGGCGCAGGGCCGGGCCGCGCGTCCCCGGCGGCGTGTGCTCTCCGGGCGAGGGCAGCGCTGAGCTCAGTTAGCGGGGCTCGCGCGGCCTGGCCTCGCGCGCTGGAGCCGCGCGGGGATGGAGAGGACCCGGCCCGCCGCTGCCGGGGTCGGGGGCCGGGGGCCGGGGCTGGGGCCGGGGCTGGGCCCGGGGCTGGGCCCGGGGCTGGGCCCGGGGCCGGGCCGGGCCGACAGGGTGCTGAGGCGGCGAACGCGACCTCGCCCTGCGCGCGGGGACGCCAGTGAGCTTCGCCCAGGCACAGCGGGGTCACCTGCGGTCAGGGCTGGCACCTGCCGCTCCGCCCCGTCCCGGGCCTCGCCCCGCGGGGACCGTTCCCCCGGACGGTCGTTGAGGGGACCCCCATGGTCACCCCGCGTCGCGGCGAGGAGGCGGGCGTGTAGGTGGAGGCGCGGTCACCCGGGACGCGGGCCCGTGTCGGTGAGTGAGGCCGGCGGGCGGGGACCTGGGCCTCCGCGTCTCTCACAGGCGGACCCGCGTGTTCTCTCGGGCCGGGGCGGATGGCGCCTGGGACCCCGGCCCTCGCCCTGGGGTCCATCCCTGAAAACGGCACAGGGCCCGGCTTTAGTCAGGGCGCTGCGGCCGCGGATCTGGTCGTCGGGAGTCTCCCGCACCCAGGGCTCTGTCCTCCCAGATTCAGGGCCCCAGGCCAGAGCAAGACCAGGCCTCTGCAGACCGCGGGAGCTCTGTCCCCCGACCTCACCTCCAACAGCCGCAGCACCCCAGCTACCACGCACAGGCCCCGGGGTCCAAGGTTACCAAGATAAATGGCGCCAGCATCCAAAAAGCATTTATTTCGCTGTGGGGTGTGTGTGTGTGTGTGTGTCCGCGTGCGCATCCCAGTACAGAGTTGCACCTGATCAGAACAAGGCTAGAAAGGGGCAGAGCGTGGTTGGGAAAGGCAGCCCAGAGCCCGGCTCCAGGGCCCATGTGCCTGCCTCCATGCGGAGCGGGAGTTTCCTCTGGGACAGGAAGGAGCTCTGTGTGGTGCGGTGGAAAGGACCCTGAAGGGCAGCGGGGCAAAGGCCCGACCTGGCTTCCCTAAGAATCCCAGCTAGCAAAACCCAGCCCCTGGACTCTGCCCCAGGCCGCGGCCCACTGTCCCCAGCCCTGCTCCTTCTGACGCACTGTTGGCTTTAGTTTGCTGATATTTTCTTGACGATTTTTTGCATCAAAGGTCATCACCGATATCGTTAATTTTTTTTTGTAGACCTTTTGTCTGACTTTGAAATCAGGGTGATGTAAGCTTCATGGAATGAATTTGGGAATTGCTGTGACCCAATGCAGCTCCTGAGGTTCTTGGGGTTAAGGACGGTGAGAGGATAACAAAAATAAAGACAAAGCTGGGGTCAGCCCTTACTCTCCTGAGGTGAGGAAAGGAACTGCTTAACCAGTGCAGCATGTGTATTTACACCTTTCAAGGAAGAACGTCAATTTCAACCCCTCTGCCTAGCAACTTGTTTGCCTGGCAGGCCTGGGACCCTTGCCTTCTTAGTGCTAGAACAACTTGTTTACATAGCTTGTTTTGGTCTCTCTGTTTTTTCTGGGCTGGCCTTGTTTAGCCCCACACGTGCAATCAATCTCCAACTTGAACAGCTCCATACAGGAAACACTGCACCTGAGTTTTCTGGAAGGGTTTGAAAAGGGTTGGGTTAGTTCTTTAAAGGGTGCTAGCTGAGACACCAACAGTTCCTGCCTTGACTTTGATGGGAGACTTTTTATTAGTTTTTGTTGACTGATTGGGTTTCTATTATTTATGAGTTCAAATTTTCTATTTCTTTTTTTTTTTTTTGAACACTTTTTTTTAAAATTTTATTTAAGGAGAAAAGAAAAAAAAAGCAGGGAAAGGGTACAAGTTATACAGATTTACAGAAAAAAAATGAACAGTAGGAAATCACTAGTTAATGGATTACATATTGTCATCTTAGAAATAATTGTTCAAGTCACAAAATTAAAGCTTGTAAAGTGGACATTCCATCAATGATACTGCAAACAGTTCTGTTCATTGATCCAATAAAACTCTGTGATATCATTTTCTATCTTATACAGTTAAATATACATGCAGTTATATAGTTTGGAGCACTTTCTTTTCCTCTCGTTTGTACCATGACTATTACACATTTTGGGTTTCATTGCTCCCACGGTTCTTATTACTTTTTTGGAAGAGAGTAAAACCAAATGTGACATAACAGAACAGAATCGGTCAAGTCAAAAGGGTGGACATAATAGATAATGTAAAAACATAATACAAGGTGATCAACAATGGTTACCATAATGCCTCCCGCTATCTCTAATAGAATTGCCTATATCGTTAGTTATAATACAATTGAAGGGGCTGGGGATTTAGCTCAGCGGCATAAGCGCCTGCCTTGCAAGCAGGCAGTCATGAGTTCGATCCCTGGTACCAATAAAAAAAAAGGAAAAAGACAAAAAAAAAATAAGTTATAATACAATTGAACAAAACAGTAAAGAATAAAACCGACAAAACCAAAACATTGGAGACATTGTAGGTCTTCAAAAGTAGATAAAAGTGGGGGCTGGGGATTTAGCTCGGCGGCATAAGCACCTGCCTTGCAAGCAGGCAGTCGTGAGTTCGATCCCCGGTACCGATAAAAAAAAAAAAAAAAAAAAAGACAAAAAAAAAAAAAAAAAAAAAGTAGATAAAAGTCAACAAGAATGGGCGTCATAATGAATCTCATTATCTTTACAGCTGATGCCTAAACTTTCGAACCTGATACTTTCCAGCAAAACAGAATAGGGGAACATCAGTTAAAAACCAGATGGTGAGAGTAATACAGGGCTTTAAATCAAGGTAATGAAAAGTCAAAGTGGGTTACTATAATATATCCTGCTATTTTTTTCCTTTAATTAAAAGGATAAAGATAAAAAAGTAAATAATGGAGTGGAGATTGAGATAAAAGAGGGCATAACAACGAAACAGCGCAGATCAAAACATAACCATTTAAGCAGAATAGTGTTTCACCACCAGATAATCCTAACCTAAAAGTAGTTACCATATTGTCTCTTTCTTTGAAATCCTTGAGTACAACTTCGTATACTGTAGCATTAAGTATATCAGAACAATGTAAAACCATTCAAGAGAATGACAGCATTACAGAGTATTTAGAATCGACTAACAGAAAATGAACAATGGTTTCTGTATAATCTCCTTGTCTTTAAAAGGTTTTTGCTTATACTATCGTACATAATAAAATCCAATAAGATGCAGCCTATTTAGACCATTGGAGACAGAAGGACAAAAGCTAGATGAGACTTCAAAACAAGATGATACTAAATCAGTATTACCTATTAAGATGTCATTTTCTCCAAAATAGCTGTTCCTATCATCCAATCTTCTCTGCCTCATTTCTGTTGAGCTCTTTTTCTGTCAGTAGCTGTCAGTTTGTCTTCTTCATTTTGTTCTCTGCTCCATTCGTTGTGGCCTCTCTGCTATTATTTCTGGATTCTTTGTATTTTTCTTTTTTTAGAATATCCTGCAATACTCTCTTTAGAGTTGAATTGGTGGTTGCAAATTCCCCCAGTTCCTCTTTATCCTGGAAGCACCTTGTTTTTCCATCAATTTCCAGGGACAGTTGTGCAGGATATCTCAATCTTGGCTGGAGATTATTATCTTTCAAAGCTTGAATTATTTCCCCCCACGCTCTTCGTGATTTGATGGTTTGTGCAGAGAAATCTGCTGTAATTCTGATGGATGTTCCCTTGTAAGTGGTCTGTTTCTTGTCTCTTACAGCTTTTAATATTCTGTTCTTGTATTGAATTTCTGGAATTTTTATTATTATATGCCTGGGTGTTGCTCTGTTTGGGTTGTAGGTAGCTGGGGTCCTGTATGCCTCATACATCTGAGTATCTTTACCTTTTGCTAAATTAGGAAAATTCTCCTGGATTATTTCTGTGAGTAGCTTTTGTAGTTCACTTGTTTGTGTCCCTACTTCTTCTTTTATGTTCTTAATCCTTAAGTTATGGATCCTCTTATCATCTTCTTGTCTTTGTATTATTGCTGTTTGTTTCTTTGTTATTTTTAAGAAGTTTTTCATTTCATTCTCCCATATTACAAGTCTGCCCTCCAGTTCAGATAGTCTGTCCTTAGTTTCTTTCAAGCTGTTATGCCAGTCTTGGATAGACTTTTTAATTTCTTGATAGTCTCTTTGAACCTGCTTCACATACTCAATGCTTTCTCTGTTTTCTCCATCAAGCAATTCTCCCCTCTTTTTCTGTTCTTCCATTCCACCATCTGTTTTTTCCTGGGTGGTGCTTAGCATTTCTCTAACTATTCTGCCTACTTCTAGCTTCAGGTCGTTGATAACTTCATTCCTGAATTGGTCTATGAGGCTCTCTATATGGTGCCTTATGTATATTGGTGCGGTGTCTGCTATTGCCTGTTTCTCAGAATTGGGGGCCGAGGAGCCTTTCTTGTTGCTGCCTCTTCCCATGCTGCCTCTTCTTCTCTGTTCCTTATATATACAAGCTTATATAAGAGGCCCAGCTTCTCTCCCAGTCAGCCACAGCCTGATCGAATTGCGCCAGTTAGGTGTTCCCGCTCACCGCTGCGCACCAGGGAGTTACGGACCAGGCAGCCTACGCGTCTCCCCTCCCGGCCACCATCAGGCTCTGGGATCTGGGTTGGGACAGCCTACCAGGTCCGCCGGCAGCGTCATGCAGGCCAGGCACTTTTCACCAATCCCGCCCGAGAGGGGGATGTGTGGCTGGAGTCGCCACAGCGCCCTGCTCCCGCAGGACTGCTCGGGCCCAGAAAGTCCTCCGCTGGAGTCAAGCTGTGGTAGAGTGTCAGTTTCTCTCACTCACCTCACCACAAGTCAGTACACGCCTCCCTGCCGTTCGCAGATTGCCATTCTCAGAGCTTCTGCGCCTCTCTCTCCTTGCCGAGCCACTGTAGAGGCAGCCAGCCGCCCGGGAAACCCAAATCGCGGCTTACAATGGCGCGGGGTCCAGCCTCCACACCGAGGCTTTTCTCTTCATGTTTTAGCACCAGGACTGCATTCCAAGTTGGTTTCTCTCAGCCCAGTTCGTTCCTGAGTCAGCAGAGCATATCTCCACCTGCTTATGTCTCCTTAGTCCGCACCATTCCTGGCTTCTGAGCCAAGTCTTTCAGAGAGCCTCTGGTAGTTGCTGTTATCTGTCCGCCATGTTCTCCTGGAAGTCAAATTTTCTATTTCTTAATGTTTCAGTCTTGATTGGTTATAACAGTTCTAGGAATTTATCCAGATTTTCTAGGTTACCTAATTTATTGGTGTATAATTCTTCTTATGACTTCCATGTTATCAATTATTATTTTTTCTCTTTCAGTTCTGATTTTAGTTGAGTCTTGGTCTATGCTAAAGATGTTTTGATTTGCTTATGTTTTAAAAACTGGCTTGCTGATCCTTTGAATTTCTCTGTTA